TAAAACATTTTGTACTGGTTTTCTTTGTATGCAACTGATAGTGTCATTTTTAAGTTTGTTCCTCAAAAATTTTCCCATTTATCGAATTCAATATTATAGCCAAAGTTCTTCGATTTTCAATTTTTGGAGTTTCGCAGGATGATCCAGTGTAGAAGCTTCGTGGTTGAGAAGCAAAACTTCTTCAAAGAAAAAACAAGAAAGTCCAGTTGCCTCTTGAAAAAGCACTTTTCGGAGAAGTTGCAGATGACATACAATAGAATCCATATGTGGAGGACACACGTGAGCTGAAAAATAACCAGATATTTGTATATGGAGATTCTTGGTCATGGTTGTCCCAAAAGGGAAATGGATTTTGTTTTGATTTTGTTGTTTTCCTTTACAGTGTTTTGCTCCTCATCAGTCAGTTGGAACTGAAGGACCTTCTTGGATGAGAAACAAATGTTTTCAAGGGAAAAAAAACTGAGGAAACTTCAGTTGCTTTTTGGAAAAGAACCTTTGGGACAAACAGATCTTTGATGTTATGAGGCTGTGGCTCAAGATCTTCTCCTGATCTTTCTTCAAAGAAGAAGAAAAGGAGCTCAATGTCTTTGTCTTGGTTGTCTTCCACTTTGGTGACAACCAGCAGGTGTCTTTGTAGCACTGTGCTCCATGCGCAGAAATAGACAGCTGAGTCCTTAAGTTGGGTGTTCTTCAGATACAAAGAGGTTGTCCTTTTCTTTTTGTCCAGAGTCATTTCAAAATTATCCTCTGGTTGGGTCCCTGATGAACTCCGTGAGATCATGAAGTCTGGTGGGCCTCCTGGATATTGCTTGTACCACTGAAGACTATATTCCACTTCATGATAGGAGCAGTTCAAGAGGGTAGAATCTCCTTCCTTAATGGAAAGAAATTGGTGTTCCTGGGTTACAGTAGCTTGACCTGATACAACTGGAAAGAAATGGAAAAATAAGGGAAAATGATAGAGGAAGGAAGGAAGGAAGGAAGGAAGGAAGGAAGGAAGGAAGGAAGGAAGGAAGGAAGGAAGGAAGGAAAAAATAAACCAACAAGGTTATTTAACTGATGCTTTAGAATTTCCAATGCAGAAAGTATTATTCAACGTTTGCCATCCTACTTCACTTTATAAGATATTTAAATTAATTTTCCTGCTGATGGTTTTGCTTATTTTCTTTTTAATGGCTTTGGAAAGATTCAGTTTAAAAACCACCTTGAGGAGGCCTTGTTTCCCACCTTCCACCCCAAAAAAGAACAACAGGCTAAACATTATTTCCCCCAATAATTGAATGAATNAGGCAAAGGTACTACTCTTTCACCCGATACAAGCATAATAACATGGACAGTATGTTGCCCTGGGTTTTTATAGTAGTTCCATTAAAAAAAAAATCTGTCCCAAGATTCTTAATCATGTGCTTAAATAGACCCCATAATTTTTAATTTTTTAAATGTATGTCAGGTTTCCGAAAGATGCCCTAATTGATTCATGAGTCTCAAGCCAAGTTTCAAAAGAAAACTTGTCATTTATTAGGAGCACCATTTGGCAAGAGCTTATACAGTCAGATCTGAGCCTCATTTCAATTATAGTTGAAGTTTACCCCTGTTTCTTCCCTCCCCTCAGTCTGCGTCATAAATCACATTCCCCAATGAGGTACATCCCTCCCAAACCTGCAGTAATCTGAGATCTGACTCTAGCTAAACTATGCGTGGAATGCGCTTCCCCCTTTCCTCACTATGGCAACTTTATGAGTTGACAATATTCCTTAGAGTATGCTCCTTTGCTTCATAGAGCAACCAATTACTTATACAATCATTTTGAATGATTGCTTAGGAGTTTTTAGAGCTTTAAGTTATTTAAATTGTATTTAAATTAAAATATATTTGATGTATACGAGTAGTCCTTGATCTTGGACCATTTGTCCAGCAACCAATTAAACTTACAACAGCACCGAACAAATAGTAATTATGATCAGTCCTTCTCGGAGTTCCAGCCATCCCGGTACCCCACATGGTTAATTGCAGTCTGAGTGCTTGGCAACTCATCTGTATTTCCCACTGGTTGCCTAGCACCCTACAATCACATGATCAGCCTTTGCAACCCTTCCTGCTGGCTTCCCCAGAAAGTCATTGGGGAAGCTGGCAGGGAATGTCTTAGGTTGCTGTAGATAAGCCTCCCCCTTTGCATTAATTTATTGCTGGTCATTTGTACACCCTTCCTAACCCTCAGCAAACCTCCCTCGCATCCATTTCAGATTCCTGTCCTGCCTGTTTTGAAGAAGGCTAAGATTGTGTGTGTGTATTACTTTCTCTCTCTTTCTCTTTCATAGGTCACAATGTGAGGAACATCCAGGCCTTCTCAGTCCTACAGAATGCTTTTCTTAAAGCAAAAACCAGCTACCTTGCACAAATTATTCTTGATGCCATTTTGAATATATACATTGCGGATAACGCCAACTATTTCATCCTGGAATCTCAGCACACTTTGTCTCAATTTGCGGAGAAAATTTCAAAGCTTCCAGAAGTACAAACAAAATACTTTGAGATGCTTGAATTTGTCGTCTTTAGCTTGAATTACATACCTTGCAAAGAACTGATCAGCGTCAGCATCCTCTTAAAATCCAGCACCTCCTATTCCTGTAGCATTATTGCTACAAGGACCCTGCTTAAGTTCACGCGGCATGACTACATTTTTAAGGACGTTTTCAGGGAGGTGGGACTTCTGGAAGTGATGGTGAATCTCCTGCACAAGTACGCTGCCCTTTTGAAAGATCCTACACAAGCCCTGAATGATCAAGGTAGATCCCATCCCCCACTTTCCCCCCTTTCTTTAAAATCTTTCAGTTGCATTTTATTTATTTATTTATTTAAAAAACAACTTGCTTTC